TTCCCGAGGCCTGATATACTCCATAAGTTGATCAATCTGTGCCATAGTCAAAATAAACTTACATATAAAATTTCATCAAAATCGGTTTAGCCGAACTTGAGATACACGTGTGCACAAACAGACTGACAGATCGACAAATGGTTTTTTTACACTTCCTTACCATGGAAAGGTGCGTTCCCACCGAAACCTTGATATTCAAAATTTGTTGCTATCACATAACCTACCTATGGTATGCACAATACGGTCGGTAAAAATAATGAATTTTTTGTCTTTGAACCAAATATGAGAAGTTTAAAAATGTTTTTGTTTCGAATCTGGAAACTTTTACCTATTTATGTGATTTATCTGATTTGGATTTTTAGTTGTGAACAAAATTATTTTAAAATTCCGGAATATGTATTACACGCAAATTGTAATGATTCATCTTTAGCTGCTGGTGTCGGAATTTTTGTTAGGCTAATTATAATATTGAAATTGGAAGGTATAATCATTTTTTAACAGTTGATATTTTAAGCTTTAGTCTCACTAGATGGTGGAAATTTTACTTTTTTATGTTTATATAGATACCATTCTGAAAGTGCAAAGATAATATTTTTAGATGAATTTTGTAATTTTTTGAATTCTGAAAAATCTGAAACTCTTGTCATATTAAGTGATTTTAATTTAAATAGTTTGGAATAGAATATTGATATTGATTCTTTGAACATGGGCCAAGCTCATTGAATATTGAACATGGGCCAAGCTCATTTGTTAGCGGTCGAAGGAAACCTATTTCTGAGTATTATTTGGATCACGTTTTTGAGCGGTTTTACATATTCCAATTGATTGTTGTCAATTTTTGAATTTTGATGTTAATTTTTATGATTAATGAGTAATATAAGCTTTTTTTGTCCAGACAAGGTTGAAATTGACTGAATAAAAGTAAATATTAAATTACGATTTGAACTTTGGTCTGTTGTTTATGAATATTTTTGCTTTGTTGAGAAATTTAGGAAGTCTGCAACATATAAGATGAATGCAGTTCTGTTGTCCGATGTAGAAGAAAGGATAGGTGGTTTAAGTGCCGGTTTGTTGAAAAAGATTACGGCGAAGAACAAATTAAGGTTTACAGCCACCATAATATGACAGATTGTGTCGGTGCATCAAAAAGGAAATTCCAAAATTTTGCGATGATCTTATCAATGAATGACAATTTAAAAGGGGAAATGGAATGTCATTAATAAAATTTCTATTAGTGGGAATAATTAGGACAAGTTTGTTTACGGTATGTTTGAATTTGGACATTGTTTCAAATATTAATGATTTTTTGTTACATGATGGCACTGCAATTACAAACGAATTTAATATTATGTAGTTTGCTACTGCGGCTTGCGGCTGTTGCAATCATTTATACGCTGCATCTGTTATGGACAAAACTAATAGTTTTTTTTTGAAAAACTTTAAGCTTTAGAGCTCTTTAAAGTAATTCGATCGCTAATAATTCTGGTTCCGCTGGTGTTGATGGTGCATCCAATTTGGTGCTGAAAGATGTGGAGTTGAATAGAAAGAATCTATTTAAGAAAAGTTATTCGCAAAATATATCGTTAATTTATAAATTTTTTAGAAGGTCATCAAAAGTAGGGTTTTGCAATATTTAAACAGGATAAAATTTTTTGAGGCAATCACTTTGTGTTTGGTGCTGAATGTCTACGGAGGATGCCCTTTTAAAATACTGTTCCCACATAAAAAGCGGGCTCGATGGTAGCGGCTATTGTGCGAGTCTTTTTGTGGATATTACTATGGCCTTCGACACGGTTTACCATGATATTCTTTTGTCAAAACTTTATGTAGGTTTCAGGGGTTCAATGTACCAGTGGTTTAAGTCGTATTTGTACTGTTAGTCTTAGTTATTTAAGATGCAGCAATCGGCTATTTATTAAACTTGCAGTTCCTCAGCGATCGATGAATGCAGTACTGTTTTTAATATATATTAATTCAATTTTTAAACAGTACTTTGTGGTAATCTGACGGCATTTGCGGATGATATTGGATGTTGTTATGTATCTAGTAGTGCTTTAAACTTGGTTGCTGTTTTAAATTTTAAAGTATTCTCAGGGATTGGTTTGCATGTTATAAGTAGTAAAACAAGAGTTATGTTTTTTAGTCCTACTGGGAAAATTTTGGAAGACTTAGATTTGTGTTATCACTCCGCATGGTGTTCGATTGGTTGACTCTAGTCCAGGTGATTCTTGTAAAATGTTTTTTGATGACCAGTTGCGTGGTGCTGGTTGCTTATTTATTGAAAGTGTAAATAAATTTAGATATTGCAAGTATAATAGGTTGAAATTGGTCTGAACATAACTCGCCTTCGAAGCAGTATTCTCGTGCAACATCAAGAATCTTTTATAAATTAAAGCATTTTTGCTCAATTAAAATCGTGAAAATGTTTTATTTTGGAATTTTTCAATCAAAATTGCAAAGCAAAATTAATTTTTTGCTTATTCTTTAGAAGTGTGTTAATAGAGAGTTGTATTATGGCCGTGATTTGCGAAATAGTTTTGATATCCTTTTTAGGTTGTGTATCTTGCCCGTCGGTCATTTCTTTATTTCAGAGTTATGAGAAAGTTCTTTATTTTAAATGGTTACTTGAGGTTGAGAATTACCAATTATAATTTTAAGGGTAATATAGGCTCTGCTCTTAATGTTTCAAATTTTAGGACCACATATTATCGTAACGTCTAGAAGATATTGTTTAAAAGATCCCACAACAAGCTTCCCAATTCGATACAGAATGTTAGAAATTTAAATTTATTCCTAAAGCATATGAAAATTGGCTTTTAGGTTTTGTTCACAGTAGTGTTGAAAAATTTTTAGGGGTTTCATTATAAGTGTATAACATTTTTCAAGATTAAATTTTAATAATTTGTGTTTCTTATTTTCTCTTTTCTTTTTTTTTTATATAAACTTAGTTTTAAATTTCTGTGTAAGTATTTAACAAGCATTTTTACAATATTCTGTAACACTTTCACTTAACTAGACAATACACATTGCGGTCGGTTATGTACTAGCCATTTCAGATTTTTTTTTATTGATATTTTTCTAATTTAATGAATTCAGAAAAGTTTTTCTTGTTTTTTTTTTTAATTAATGGTATCCAGAAAAGTATTTAATAGTTATTTAATTAATATTTATTAATTATTATGTTTTTTAAGAATGAAAAAAATAAATAATATTATATTATATTGTATATGAAAAGGTTTCACAGTACATATTTTCTCTGAAATGGTTTGAAAATATGTTAATGCTAGGTTTCAGAGCACGAAAAGTGTGTTGGAAAATATTAATTATATTCGAGGCACGTTATTAAATTGTGTTTTAAATTTTTGCTTATTTTGTAATATTATTTAAAAAGTTTTGTAAATATATTAGTTAACCATTAATCACATTAACTCTACTTTCGTTCATTCACGTATGGAATTCCCACATAAAATTTGACATACAAAATATATTCAGCCCGGGTGGAAATTTCTCATTTCCCTTTTTAGCACTTTTCCAAAAATTTTTTTGAAAAAAGTGCTTATTAGTTTCACTCTGTCCGCCCGTCGTCCGTCCGTCCGTCCGTCCATTCGTCCGTCCGTGGAAATTTTTTTGTTTACAAAACTTTTACACCCTTGAAGATAGAAAGCTGAAATTTCATACTTACATAGATCTTCACTAGAAACTTATTCCCGTAGAACAAAATTTTTAACTACTTCCCCCCCTCTAGAAGTTATACCCCCCCCCAAAACCCTAAGAATAGCCTTTTTTAAATATTTGTTGCAATGTTCTAGACCCCATAATGTAGAGCTTTGAAATTTTAGGGAATTTTAGACATTAACAAATAGTTTATTTCGTTAGAAGAAAATTTTTTTCCATCTCCACCCCCTCTCAAGCTATCGCCTCTTGAAATTCGTAAAATTTGAATTTTTGATGCCTTATATTTCCGAAACCGCAAGTTTTTTCAAATTTTTATAAACGCAAAAAGCTAACGGTAAATTCCATGAATTAAAAAAATATAATTATTTTTCTTAACTCACACAACTAACCCTTAAAATCGAGCATTATGTTAACCCATTTTTACATTAATTTTTGCTTTATTTCAAAGACTGCATATATGCGTCATCGTAAATATATGCAACCCTAGAAATAGTTTTATATAAGAATGAAAATAATTTTAATAGTTTGGTAAGTACACATAGACTGTATTTAAAAGCAGAATTTTCACTTGTTAAAGGGAAAAGTGCTACAATACAAATCATTGGTTTGACCCAACTTTATTACATATTACATTATTACTTATATAAAACTTTTGCTGAACGTATAACCAAAGTGAAAGGGAAAGTTTATTCAATTAAAATTTCTGTCTTATTTTTTATAGGTGCATTAATTTGTAGTTAAAATATCGAACATGCGCCCAAGTATCCATCTAGAAAATAAAAATTAACAAAAGATACAAAGTTTTAAAGTTTTTCTTTTAGAATAATTTACATTATCAATATTTTGGTTAATTTTGTTATTCTATTAAAAAAATATATATTTTATTGCAGAAATAAAAGAACGCAAAAGGTGAGGTTTTCGTTCTTTGCGCAAGAAGAGTATAGAAAGAGTTTTTTTATTTTTTATAATTATGATACTAATCAACATAATATGTATGTTTTTAACGAGAAGGTAACTGTCAGTAATGTAATGTATTAACTGAATTTATTATTTTCTTTGGTCTCTGTTATCTCTCATAAGTAAGAACGTTTACTTTATTTGTAATGCAATTTAATTTTTGTGAAATATTTCGTATACAAATACATGACATTAAAGTCTGCCACTGATTTTTGAAATTTGAAAAAATTGAATATGTATATACACATGATTTTAAAAATTTCAAAATACCATCTATATGTATAGCATGATATGCATGAATTTTATTAAGTTCTCATATTATATTTGTACATTTTATATTTTATTATCGTATAAAGATTGTATATTACGTGTTTGACTTATATGAAGTACATTTCAGCATTTCAGGAGCTGATGAAAAAGAAAGAGTGATAATAAAGTGAAAGAGTTTTGCCATTAATTGTGCATTGTTAAAGTGAAGTATTTATGTACAGAATGTGAAAAATGGATGTACTGCAAGACAAAAAAAAACGAAAATATGTATACTTATTGAAATATTATACCTAACAAAATATAGTCTCTTTTGATACTTATTTATTAAATAATCCTAATTTATTAAATGGCTAATAAAGAAAATTCACTAAATCAAATATTGTAACACGATAATCATACAGATCACCCCCTAACGTTTGTTGCTAAATGAAATTATGCACATTGAATGATGAATTGAACAGTAATACTTGCAATATTGTGCTCTTCAAAAAGTAAGCCATAATTTACGTTTTATAAAGACTTCGCAAAAAAATACTAATAATATATTGCATTAAAGAAAATTTCAAATTCTGATAAAATTTATTTAATATTTTATATTATTAAAAGCGTGTACGCACATTATATCAACATGTCAATTATCAGATATATACATATATAAATACATATGTATGTATATCGATATATTACCTTTCATTGCTGCAAATAAAATGATACATTCGTAATTAATCACTCTTAAGAAGAATCGCATTTAAAAAAAGATTATATTTTTTTTAGAATTATTTTGGAATTTTTTTAGAACCTGCGAGACGAGCTGATCCAATCGGTTAAATTTTGTTGATACATTTAGATAAAAAGATTTAGATATTTTTAAAACTGTGAGGCAAAATTTTCATTTTCAATGAAGAACTAAGAGTGCCCCTCATTTTTTGTATAAATTATCATAAACTTAATGAAAACATAATTTCATGCAAAAATATGATTTTGAAAACGCCACGTAATTTTACTTCACTTTCGTATTTTAATAAATATATTTTAGAAATTTTAAACGAAATGAATGATTATAATAATATTAGGTGATTTCAACATAATTTGGGAAAACAGAAAATCATATAAAATTGTAAATGGGAGAAATATTGGAAGAAAAACTATCTAAAAAAATTGTAGTTGATCATACTCGTATTACTCAAATTTCTAATCTTTTTCGTAAATTAAAGGCATATAACAATAAATATGAATCAAAACAATTATTTGTAATGTAGCAGATGTCTATTATAATTAATATTATAATTAATGTAGATAGATGTCTATTAATATTATACTAATGTGTCATTGCATAAAGCTAGGATTAATCAAGTAACTTAAAAAATTTAATTGCTTTTCCTGATTAGAAGATGTTAATGGTTAACTATTATGACGAGAGAGCTGTTTGACTAAACACTTTGTCTTTGTTATTAGTAGGTATAGTTCATTAAGATTTTGACCCTTAACGCAACAGAAATTATACAAATTTTTCGATTAATTTATTATAAAAAGGTCAAAACATTTTTCGCGTCGTATCTGAAGGGGTATAGAAGAAGGGTATTTAATTTATTTAATTTAAGATATTTATGCGTATAAGCTTTGTATAATATACAAAAGATTTGATTTTCTTTAATATACGTACGCATAAAAACAAGTTTAATTATTACACTTATATTTTTAATTGAAAAATTTTTAAAACATGATTTTAATTTTTTTATAATTTTTATTTTCCGTACTTTTGTTATTTTTTTCACCTGCTAGATTAATTTTACAGAAGGCTTTGTCTGCCATTTAAATTAAAACAGGTAAATATTAACAAGATTTTAAATATTTGAATTAACAATTAATTCAAATTTTGAAAATCAAATTCCGCAATGCGCACCTATTACATATATGTATTAATATTTAATTAATTATTCTACTGATATTTCAAAAAGAATTAATTTTTAATCTTTATGTTCTAGATCATACGTATATCGTCTGAAAAATAAACAAATTCTTGAGCTATGGAAATTAAAAATATATATGGATTAATTTGCGTGTTAATTGCAATGTTAAACAAGAGTTCTTCCACAATATGTAAGTTATTATTATGATTAAGTTAATAAGTTAATTTAATTAATTACTATATCTAAAAATATAAATACCTATAAAAAATTAATGTTTTTTTTGTTTATCACACTCGAACTGTGAAATATGGATGTTGCTAATTTTCTTGCGATAAGTGTAAAATATGGCTTTTTGAAAAAGTCTTCAGGTTGAAATTTAACCAAAATATTTATAAAAATCCCTCGTGTGACTTATAGTAAAGAAGCTTTTTTGAGCTTTTTCCGAAATGCTTATTAAAGTTGCAATCCCTCGCCCTGATTTCAGTGTGTTCTGTGACGACAAAATTAGGAAATTTCGGGTAGCGGCTTTGCTGTGAGCATTTTGAGATTGAAGAATGAAATTGGTTTCAGTAATGTATTCATTAAATTAAATGTCAAATATAATTAGCTTTTAATATAATTTTTAGTTAAAATCTAAAATTTTATTGCATGCGTGCATTAGTAAAATAAAAAGAATGAAGTAGATAAACAAACCTTTAAAAAATAAAATAAAAGCTAAAGAGACTAATAAAATAACAATTGCTTGTGGAATATAATAATAAATTTTTATGTATGTCATCAAATTCAATATTCAATCTTCAACCAAATTTGATCTTCAACTAGACGTGGCTACTGCATATTAATATAAAACGGATGAAGAGTAAATAGTATTCATTCGTTCATAGGGTGTTAAAAACCTTTTTAGAGGGATACCTCTGGGATCATCTCTATCTGTGCATTTGTTCAATGTTTTTATAGCGTCGTTACCTAGGAACTTGCAGCAAGTCGGAGGCATTAGTGTCTTAATATAAGCAGACAATGTGCTGTTGGTAAAGATAATAAAATCGATGAAAGGCTACAGCGCACATTGACTGTTAAAAGATTGGGCGATTCACGTGCCGTTAAGGTTCCCCATAAATAAGTTGTAGGGCATCCATATATGCAGAGGAAGAAGCTGTTTTACGAGATCTTTGACATATGAAGGCTGTAGGGTTCCGTTCAAGAATAAAATCTCCCTATTAGGTTTAGAGTTTACAAGGAGATTAAATTATGAACCTCTTGTTAACCGACTGGCCCAAAAATTAAAGAGAACTAACATCCTGTTAAAGTTAGCTTTTCGAAATAAATTTGGCCCTTCTTTGGAAGTGACACTTCAGATTGCCAGAGGCTTGCAAATCGGTAGCATTGATTATGCAATCTCGATTTATGGTTTTTGTACTCAAACTCAAATATCCAGGTGCAATTGAATCAAGCTGTTCGGCTGGCTTTGGGGGCCTTGAGAAACAAACGTTGATACGTTACTGGTCAGGTTTTCCGACCTTTACCGAAAGGAGAGATTTTTTTATCTTGTACGTTTGTTCATGATCAATATGGTGACAGAAGTAGACCCTTGAATAGGGTAGTCGCGGCGCTGTATAAAAATGATATAGTGGTGCTCCATAAGTCCTTGCTAGCCAGAGCTAAACAATTATCTAAAAATGCGGGAATAGTTTTCGAGAATTCTTTGCCAAACGGACACAATTTTAGGCCTTGGTCGTTGGATTCAATACAGAAACTTACTGATACGTCGATATCTCGTTTCTGCAAGTCTAGCACGAACGCTCATAGTTTTTGAGCACAAGCGGCATTTTTTGGCACTTATAGAATCGAATCCTAATTCATATAGGGTGTACACAGATGCTCCTAAAACTACGGAGGGGGTAGCTTACGCTGTAGTTGATGAACAAAAATTGTTAATTATTCCAATCATTCGGGCGATTCGTAATATTATTGTTTCTTACACTAAAAGAATTAGAATAGTGTGGATACCGGGTCATTGCAATATAAGTGGGAATGTTTTTGCGGATAGGGAGGCCAGATCTGCTATAGGTAGTCCTTGCTTCAATAGATTTATTTATTTTCCATCAACTAAGGCAAAAGAAATTAAAAACTACATAGATACGAAAAGGCAGAAGAGCTGGTGTATCTCTGGTAGCCTTCTTAGATGCCATTGGCCGCGCGTTGCTCCTCCGGTACAAGATATGTAACAGACTTGTAAAAACAAAAATTTGCAGATTGCGTCCGGGTCACACGCTGTTCACAAAAAAATATCTATTTGATAATTTATTATATAATGTTGTATAAATGAATAAATAAAAAAATAAAACGGACGAAGTGAAGCATTCGCTGACAATCATATTTCCTTATCTATGGCAACTTTAGATGATCTACGACTACTTCGTTTGTATCACGTAAATTTAGGTTTAATCTATTATATTTGGAAGTTTAAATTCCAAGGTTTATTCGGCCGCCGCTAATGTAATTCTGTCACTGGTTTTTAGATTTTAGACTGGTTGTGCCTTGGCAATATAATATAATTTTGATAGAGTTTTTCAACGAATTTGTGTTAAGTATGTACATATGTTGAGGACTACAAGTATATATTACAATAAGATATTGTATTGTAATTTTAACAAATATTAAATCTTCGACAAAGGTTATTTACTTCTAAAATATTAGGTAAATAATGTTTCATAAGTTAAAGATTATGGATAACCCAGACTTACTTGCTACATTATTAATTAAATTAAATCAATTTGGTCTTAGTAGAGTGTCATTTTGTGACGACCGATTTGTACGAATAGTTTGTTGATGACTTCGAGTTCAGATATGAAATTTCAAGAAATTCCATCAATTCGTTCCGTAGATATGGAAGAAAATGTAAAATCGGTCCCAGACCAATTTTCGAGCCCTTTCAAAAAAAATTTATAGGTTCATTGCCTTTTAACCATGAATTTAAATATTAAATTTCAATGAAATCGGTTGAGAATTTTTCTTTATATACGGGAAAATTTATTATTATTTGGCCCGTGGTAAACGTCCAGTTGCTGACACCTGATTTCTTCCAAAAGTTAGGCGGTTGACGGCAGAGCAAAACTTATAAATTTGATTTAAAATAAATCTGTTGAATACTTTCTTCAAAATGACGAAAAAAAGTGTAAAACAAGCCCGTCAAAAAGTGCAGTTCCCGAGACCTGATATATCCCAAAAGTTGATGAACCAGAAATCGGATCAGCCGAACTTGAGATACACGCGTGCACACACAGACTGACAGATCTACAGACCGACGGGTTGCGAAAAATAGTTTATTTACTCTTCCCTATCATGGAGAAGTGCGTTTCCACTAAAAACTCGATATGCAAAATTTTTTACCATCACAAAACCTACCTTATTGTATACACAATCCGTTCGGTAAAAATCAAATAGTTTTCAGGTTCAGTTAGAGTTCAAAACTTAAATACATTCAATAGAAAACTTAAAATTAAAAGTCAATTCAATTAAAAATCTTAAACAATGAAACAGCTTTAACAATTTTAAGAAACCATTGCAACCCCAACGCTTTCAACGTAAATATACCAAAGAAGACCAATTTTTTGAAGTCATCCAAAAAATATATCGCGAATAATATACCGAAAATCTTAAACTTAGAAAATGCAATAAAATGTTAGAATATGTTACCAACGAAGAAAATTAGCAGAAATTATTCAAAAAACATTTCAGAAATAGTCATAGTGGTGCAAAGGTGTATATAAAAATTTCTTATGCTGCTTATATTTTCATGTTTCATATTCAATATTACATTATCAGTTCTTTGAGTTTCTTATTGTAAGAAACAATTTTGAAGTTAAAGCTTTTAGTATGTAAGTTAATGAAATTATTGTTATAAAAAGTAATAAAATAATTTCGCGGGAAAAGTGCCCTTTATTGCAATTTCATTGAATGTATCCTAATTCATTAAAAAAAAATCTAATGTGATCAGCACATTACCGACTGAAAAGTGTATTGTTTAGTGAAAATGTTACAGAATATTATAAAAATGTCTGGTTAATACTTCTTTCCAATTTTTAGGACATTAGTAAGCTTATAGTTAACATACCTAGAAAAAATGTAAATTTGGCTCTTAGTAGAATTTCGCTTTGTGTTACCCGAATTCCCTTAAATGCTCCCCAGTTAGTTTCGCTAACAACCAGAACTTAAATATCAAATTTCAAGAAATTCTATCAATTCGTTCCGTAGATATGGTGAAAAATGTGAAATCGGTCCGCAGATCAGTTTTCGAGCCCTGATCTTTATATAAGCTTATATATGAAATTTCAAGCCAATCGGTTGAATATATTCTTTAAAATGATCAAAAATGTAAAACTGGCCCGCTAAAAAGTGCAGTTCCCGAGGCCTGATATATCCCAAAAGTTGATCAATCCGTGCCATGGTCGAAATAAACTTACATATAAAATTTTATCAAAATCGGTTCAGCCGAACTTGAGATGCACGCATGTACACGCAGACCGACAGACCGACAGGTTGCTAAAAATAATTTATTTGCCCTTCCCTACATGGAGAAGTGCATTCCCACCGAAAACTCGATATGCAAAATTTGCTATCACATTACCTACCTTTTGTTTACACATAAACAAAAGGTAGGTAATGTGATAGACGGTCGATATAATATAATAATAATAATAGTAATGACAATAGTAATAATTTCTTTATTTATTTAATTAGTTTCAAATTTAGCTCAAAAAGAGCCTAAGCTCGTACAAAATGTTATTATTTATTTATTTACACAGTATGTTTTTTTTTCTTTATGCGTTATAAATTTACATATATATAAAAGGCTTATTATATTGTAGATACATTCGACTAATGCATTTAACAGAAGGTTTAAATAGACTCAATTATCAGAAAATGTTCTTGAAGTTGTCAGAAAGTGTTCCTGAAGTCGGTTTTGGTTCAAACTAATTTGTTTACATTCCTTTTTAATCTGTTTATGTCTGCATATCTGAGCCATTCAGGAATATTGTTAAATTCCCGAATAGCATTGTTGAAAATGTTACTTGACCCAGTTTTGCTAGTTCTTATGTCGTTTGCTGTTCTTGTGTTGTGATGATGCATTATTACTCCTTGTGTAAAGCTAATATTTGATGATATATTTCCGTTGTTTTATTTTATGTA